ATGCAATAACTGTGATGGAATTTCATAAGGTGATCCATAGCCTGGGTAGTGTAGGTAACTGCTGTGTCCACAAAGGAAGGAAGAACAAGAAACCTGAGGAGGAGGTATACATTTGTACATACTGTACAGAACGATCATTTTCTTAATCTGTGCCATTGCAGCAGCAGTGGAGAGTTTGTCGTGACTGGTTATTGACTGTTATGACAACACTCTGACACAAAGGGACAAAGACAAAAAGTAATTATTTACAATACTGTTGCTTTTTTGAGAGGCATTTATTTATTTTATGTTTCTAAATTTTAAGTTTTTTAAGGGTCTACTTAAAATGGAATAAAAAGTATATTCTTTAAGTTTTTTAAGGTCTATTTAAAATGGAATAGAAGGTATATCCCTTATCAAGCACAACATGCAGTTTTTAATTGGTGTGTGAGCCAAATACATGGACGAGAAAAACTACATTTTCTGACATCCCACATAAGTTAAAGAATTCCCTGAAGTAATAGTCACAGATATCTATACATCATTTACTACCACTGTTCTTCAAAAATGTCTTCATTTAGACACTATTATTTACACCGCTGTTTTGCAAGTGATCATTAAAATAATATTAAAATGTTGTGAGTGGTGCATACCTTAACAATATACAGTCACAGCAATTTGCAATATTAACAATTTCAGTTGTTTTGATAAGTTAAAATCACTCCACAAAATTCCTTGTTTTCTGATCATTTTCATGGAATCAGGAATCTTAAATATATCTCTTAAAACAATGATAAAACAATTCCGATCCAGGCTCAATTCATGGCATGTACAGTAATGCCCATTTTAGAAAATGAACATGTTGCATTTTAAAAACAGAAGCTAGGCTGTGTATTGTATCTGTTATATAACATAATATGTTATATTATTGAAAAAACAGGATGATTGCACAAAGAAACAAAACAGGCTAAATAAAGCTACCACTTCAGTAACATCTAATGCAACAAAAGTGCCAACTAGTGATCTGTTCTGACCAGTGAAAGCTTAGGGTGGTGTGCAGACTGCTTTCCACTGAGTGACTCAAACTGCTCTCACCTCCTGCCATCTCCTGGTTATAGATGGCTACATCTGTGCTTTCACTTCCATGCATTTAGGAATCAATGCCATTCAGATATTTCCTGTTTCTGATTGTAGAGAGGCTCACTGGTGTAGGCTGGTTTTTGTACGGCCTCTTGGTTCAGTCGTGTCACTGTGTGTCTTTCGCACAGTAATACACAGCTGTGTCTTCAGCTCTCAGGTCGTTCATTTGTAAGAAGAAGGTGCTGGAGGAGGTGTCCATGGAGGCAGTGAAACGTCCTTGGACTGAAGAGGCATAGTACTTTGTGCTGCTCTCATCATAGTAGAGTGCCAACCACTCCAGCCCCTTCCCAGGAGCCTGTCGGATCCAGCCTTTCCAGGAGCTGCCTATTGAAAACCCAGACACCTGGCAGGACAGTTTCAGAGACTCTCCTGGCTTCTTCAAATCTGCAGAGGCAGGCTGGGTCAGTGTGATGCTCGACTGGGTTCTTGCAACTGTAGAAAGAAACAAACATTAGCTCATCGTTCCACATTGTGAACATAGCTCATTAACCAAGTGAGAAAAAGACAGGAGGGATTTTACCTGAAAGTCCCAGCAGAAGGAAACACAGGACAATCAGGTGTTTCATGGTGTAAAACTGGTCAGTTTCTCCTGAGTAACAGCAGCTTCACTGTTAGATAGTGAGGATTCTGTCAGTTATATACAGGAAACAGATGGTAATTTGAATGCAATG